TTGGACACCAACATGGCATAAAGATGATGTATTTAATATCTTTAGTGTGACCAATGATATTGACACTTAAGGGGTGAGCTTACAACGACATCACTGCGTTTGCCGTAAATTGGCCAAAGGAAGCAACAAGACAAAGAAGCAGAAGAAAACATCAACCTCATAAAATAACAAGACAAAGAAGCAAAAGAAAGCATCAACCTCAGGATATAACAAGACAAAGAAAAAAAAGGCATCTGAAGCACCTACCATTTTGACACAAGGATCACAGGCGCCTCAAACACAAGAAACAACTAGATATGAATTATGTACTAAACTGTTCTTTTTGTGTAATCCTTTTGGGCAATGTTTGACAATCCCACTAGTAAAGCTTTAAATATGTAGTTGATTAAGACCTTTTGGACAGTGTTTTGATAACATTTAGTTAAGTTTTTAATATGTATTGGATCAATACATTTTGGTAATGTTTAAATATGGTTTATAGATCATACATTTTGCTCTTTGATGTTTAAATATGAACCATAATATATACCAGTTTGTATACATATTCCATTAATACATGTTTAAATATGAACCATGTATATCAGTTTGTACACAAGAACGGTCTATTTACTGATAACATATTGTATAAATCTCAGAAAAGTAATAACAATCTTAAAAACTTGATAACAAGCAAAGAAACTTGATAACAAACTCAGAATTTTGAGCAAACTAATTCCATTAACTTTCATTGTCAGCATACATTAGACTTAGCATTGCACTAACATTACAGTAGCTTTACACTAACATTGCACTAACATTAAACTAATATTACACTAACATTACACTATCCAACCACAATTTTTATCAGCATTGCTAATATCAGAACCCAAGACAAAACCAAGAAGGTAACTAAAAACTTACTTTCTTTTTCAACTTGTCGTCTGTGTTCTTCACCAATAATTCTTTCTTCTTCAAATCATTAACTTTATTCAATAATGAATTGATGACCTCATTTAAACGTTATGCCAATTGCTCATCAAACCACTCGAAAAATGCACATCTTTTCCTTTCTTGTAACTGTTTGACACACAACCATATGAGAACATTTATACAAGCATAAAAAATTAGGTATTTTGAATTATCTTGTATAACCCACAACCATAGAACCTTTGACCTAGATGCTGAGATGTTCAGGCGGTGACAAGTGGTGAGTCTAACCCACAATAACATTGGATTCTTCTTCTCCTAGAATGAGAGAGATTGCTTGAGATGCTAAGTGATTAAGATGCCATACGAAGCAAGAAGTTGCACTCGTGTGGAATGTAGAAGAAGTCGCAGTCGTGTGAAACAGAGAAGAAACTGCAGTCGTGTGAAACCCTAAAACCAAAACACGATGACGAAGATGAAAGTCTCTTTTAAATAAACCAATAAATCAAAATATTCAACAATTAATTTAAATTTTAAAATGATTTAAAAAAAAGAATTTAAAATACCATGTATTAAAAAAAGTGACACTTAAACATTTTCTGGAAACAAAGTGAAAATGGAGGACCAAAAGTGTTAAAAAAAAAGACTAAAACTGTGAATACACCAAAATAGAATAACTAAAATTGTAATTTAACCTATTTATTATAAATTTAACTACTTACTCATTCTTGGTTGTAATATTTGTTTTTATTAGAATACAAAAATATAAAAAAACGAAATGCAAATATGCGTCAAAATTAAAATTAACAAAATTTTTTTACTACAAAAATATGAAATTGAGGAAAATACATTTTTTGAATAGTAATAATAAAACGAAAATACTTAGATACAATTTCATAGGTGTGGTTCATACTTTTCTCTAATAAAAATATGATAAATAAACCTAAATATTTTTCAGAGAATAAAAATAGTAAGAAATGACATATGTGTAGGAGAAAATTATACACTTGTCATATTTTCATTGAAAAAAAGTATAAACCACACCTAAAAAAATGCACCTAAGTTTTTTCCATATTAAAATAATTATTAGAATTTGTGAAATATAAAATACATCAAGTGAAGTAATTTTTTCTCCATTTTTAATTTCCATTTAATGAATTTTACTTATAATGAAAAAACCAATAAAAAATTAATTTGAAAGTATGAAATATAAAATACACCATTTCTATAATTTTTTTGTTTCATTTTTCATTTCAATTTTATGAATTTTTACTTATAATTAAAAACCAATAAATAAAGTTGTTTTTTTGATATAATTATTCAGAATATCAAAAGATGTATTTTTTGTTTTGAAAATTAAAATATTAAATATTAAACTAAAATATAAGTCAAATACATTTAATTCAGTGTATCTATCATACTATCTTATTTTAATTCATTGTTTAAGGACACAACAAAATTAAATAAATTAATTTTGAAACTTATCTAATAAACTAATTTTGAAACTTATCTCATTCTGTCTTATTAATTTTAATTTTTATCTTGAGTATGAGTTAAGTTAGAATGGAGCAGGATCTAATAAAAAAATAATTTATTAATTTATCTTTATAAAATATAAATTTAAAATAAAAAATAAAAAATAATAAAATAATAAAGATTAATTTGATATTAAATTAAAAATATTAATAAATAATTTTAAAAAATATAATATGATTTTGTCATAAGGATAATTTGTAAGTTTATATAATATAAAAAAAAATAAAAATCTAATAAATAGGAATATTTAAAAAGAATTCAAATTTTAAAAATTTGAATATAAATTTTATTTCATTTATCAAATTTAAATATATTTTTTACTAGGGTAGTTTTATCATTTACATATATATATATATATATATATATATATATATATATATATATATATATATATATATATATATATATATATATATATATATATATATATATATATATATATATATATATATATATATATATATATATATATATATATATATATATATATATATATATATATATATATATATATATATATATATATATATATATATATATATATATATATATATATATATATATATATATATATATATATATATATATATATATATATATATTAAATTATTATATTATATTAATATTTTAAAAATAAAAAATTCATTTAATAGAATATATGTACATTATTGACTTGTAAAAATATTTTACCTTTTACGTTCCTTTTTCTTTATTAATATATATTTTTTCAGACAATTTGAATTGTTTTTGAAACAATTTTTATCAATTTATTTTTATCAAAATGTTGGGTAATGGATATAAATATTGATATTTTAGAGTTTAATTATTATGTATTGTTAATATAATTTTTTATATTGTTAATATATCACACATTAAATTATAATATTTAAAAAAAATTAAATATTTATAACAAATTAACAATTATGATTAGTTGACGATTGTAAAATTTTATTTAAATTCTCAATGTATTTCAATTAAATTCGATATTTTTTGTTTAAATGATATTTTTTATTTAAGAAAAAGATACGTAAAAAAAATCTATTTTCCCCTTAAAACTATTATTTATTTATTTTATTTGTAGACAAAATGACAATGATCATTATGAAACTTACAATATAATTATGAAAATTTGAATTTGAATAATAAGGTCTTACTTAACAATATTATAATTAATCAATTTAATTAAAAATAAATGAAATATTTAATTTTTTAAATACAAAATATAACCTTTATTGGTAATAAATAAAATACTCATTTCAAAATAGTAAAACATAAGAAAAACCTTGAATACAGGCAAAACCACGTCGACAGTCAAACAATATAGATTTTTTCCAATATTTTGATTATAAAATGAGTGATATTTATTCTCACTCTTCGTAAAATGTTTCTTCGGAAAAGAAAGCTACAATACACCCCCCCCAAACCCCACCCCACAATAATGACGTGGCATTTTCTAATTGGTGAATAAACTCTACCCGCTGAAAGAGCACTGACTTAAAAGAAACAAGCGTGAATCGTACTTGATACATTTACATTGCATCCTCATTCCGCAGTTACTATTCCTCTCTTTCTTCGCTTAGTCCGAGTTAGTTGCTGCTTGCTGCCACTCACTCTCTTTCACTTACCTCACTCTTTCATTTTTTTCATACAACCTAACACATTAAACTCGTAAGTTTTTTTTCTTCTTCAATTTTTAATTTTTATTTTGTTTCACTTTCTCAGATTCTTATAAAGTTTCTTTTTCTCTTTTTTTATTCACACTTGGACTTAATAAAGACCTTTTTTTTTTAATACTGATTTTTTAATTGATGAACTTGATTTTCCATATGCTTAGATTAGATGCTCTTATCTTGATTGATAAGATTCACTCTTTTTTTTACTCTTTTGTTTAAAGCGTTCCTCGCTGCTACTGGAAAAGATCACCGAAGAGATTTTCTCGCTTGATTCATTCATTGCGTTTTCTTTCGGATGTTCATCCATGGCTATGGAGGTTTGTTTCAACTCAATTCGCTTAATTATGATCTGGATTTATGTTTTTCTTTCTCGTTTTCAATTTTTATTGCTCAAACAGTGTTTTGGTGAATTTTGGAGTTTTCTCTTCAATTCGCTTTAGTCTTAGTGTGTGTTTGGTTCTGCACCGACGAGAATTGATTTTGTAGAATTGATTCTGGGTTAAAAATAAGTGATTTATGTCTGTATACATTTGATTTAATTTCAGTGTAAAAATTATGCAAATTCGAAAGCTACAAATCCTAGCTTCGGCTAGAATCAATTAATCAATTTTGAAAAAAAATCAAATCTACTTTTGAGAAAATAAACATGTTAAAATCAATTCAAAATCAATTTTACAACTCTAGAAATGCTTTTGACACTTCTAAAATGGAAACCAAATATACACTTAACCTAATTGAGTTGAATAAATGAACTTAACATGAGTTCCTACAATCGTTATTAGTATATGATTTTATTGAAAATATTTGATTTTTCGAAATGTTTTTGTTGTTGATTCTTGTAGGAGTTGTTGTTACATAGATTGTTGATTTGAGGATTATATCAAGATGTCTTACAGAAGGGGGTCGGAGCAGCAGCCGCAGAGGCGGATACTGCGGACTCAGACAGCTGGGAATTTGGGAGCAGACCCGATTTTAGATAGTGAAGTGGTGCCTTCTTCATTGGTAGAGATTGCTCCTATTCTCCGTGTTGCTAATGAAGTTGAAGCAAGCAATAAAAGAGTTGCTTATCTATGTGAGTTGATGTTTGTTTTCTTTGAATATTGTCTTAAACCTAAGTTTGCTGGAATGCTAAATTTTATTTTGTAAAGATGCTCATAGTTATGAGCACATAATGTTTTTTCTTAATTTTTTAATAAATTTGTTGCCTCTTACAAAAAAATAGTATGAATTTCTGGTTAATAAGGAGATGAAATTATTTGTTGCACAAGTTTCATTATTTCTTTCCTTTAATTGGCGAGATCATCAGGTGAGAGCTCTATTTAGAGCTAAGAATTTGACAATTTTATGAAATCACAATATGTTTACTTCTTTTGATTTTGAAACCACTCTGTAGTATGTTGTAATTTTCATCTTTTTATATTTTACTTCGGCGCTCTCTTCTTTTGGTTATTCTATTTGGTTAGTATGTTAACCTCATAATATGATCGACACAACAATGAAATAGCTTACGGAGTTTGATCTGCGTCTTTTCGGTCTAAAGTACTTGCCTGTTTTGTAATTAGGTCGGTTTTATGCTTTTGAAAAAGCTCACAGACTAGATCCCACATCTAGTGGACGTGGTGTTCGTCAATTCAAAACAGCTCTTCTTCAACGTTTAGAAAGGGTAAACTTCTGATATTATTTGTTAATAATTTCTACATTTGTTTTAGTTCTCTTATACTTTCAAACTTCAATCGTTTTAGGATCTTCCCCTTGTTTGACAAATTAATACTAATGGCTTTTTTTATTTTACTTTTTTATTTTATTTTTTTATTTTGAGTATATTATTGTTACGACGAAAGAAGAAAGAACAAATAATTTGATCCCATGTTATTATTGCAAAGATTGGAATGTCTTTCATTTGAAACTTTGAATATATGGTAATATTTTTCTTTTCTTGACAGGAAAATGACACCACACTGGAGGGAAGAGCAAAAAGCGATGCTCGTGAAATGCAGAGCTTTTATCGGCATTACTACCAAAAGTATATTCAAGCGTTACAAAATGCTGCTGATAAAGACCGGTGAGGTTATAATTGAAGTCAATTAATAGTTTGGACACTGACTTTAACTTTAGCTCTCTTAGACATTATGTGTGAATTGTCCTTATTTCTGTTGATATGATTTGTATATTTTGTTCACCAAAATGGAAATACTGGTATTAACTTCACATGTATTTCCAGTGCCCAGCTCACAAAAGCATATCAAACTGCTGCTGTTTTATTTGAGGTTTTGAGAGCAGTTAATCAAACAGAGGCTGTAGAAGTATCTGATGAGGTAAAATACGTGTCTCTCACTGTTTCAGATTTCGGTATTTTAGCTTTCTATTAGTTACCAAATGGAGTATACAAATAAGTAGAATGATATTAAAATTCTTCCTTTTTTCTCCTTTGTTTTTCACATTCCAATGTTTCATTGTAGATTTTAGAAGCTCATACCAGGGTCGAGGAAAAGAAGCAATTATATGCACCTTATAATATTTTGCCCCTTGATCCAGAAAGTGGAAAAGAGGCTATAATGAGATATCCTGAGGTTTGTTCTCTTTTACTATGTTTTAATTCAATTTTCATTGAAGTTACTAGCTGTCCTTGTTGTTATAGACTAATGGTTTGGTTGTGATGACATTTTGTGTGGAATTCCGGGTTTGAGCCTGGGTCACCACATTTCCCCCTCTCCTCAAATGTTTATTTGAGTATGTGTTTGTCACTAAGCCAATAGCAAAATAAAAAACAAATTAGCGCTGTCCCTAAATATAGGACCCTGTTGGCTAAATCACTGGAGTTAAGAAAGATGGTAGTGGTATTAAATTTATCGTCTGTTGATGTTTTCTTTACAAGTTTTACTATTAAGGAGAGGTAATTAGTTTATGTTTTCATTATAATATTTATTAAGGTTGTAGAGTCCGGCATCAACTTATCATTATAACTTTTATCTGATGAATAATTTATGTTTGGATTGTTTTCAGAGTGTTAACTAGATTACTTACATTTATTTATTGATTTACAGATTCAAGCTGCTTGTTCTGCACTGCGTAATACTAGGGGTTTGCCATGGCCGACGAATCACGGTAACAAAGTTAATGAAGACATTCTGGATTGGCTTCAGCTGATGTTTGGTTTCCAGGTAGAGACCAATTTGAATTATGACCACCGTTTTGTTTTTAATATTTAGTTCAAATATTATCTCCTTGTACCTATGCAGAAGGGCAATGTGGAAAATCAAAGGGAGCACTTGATTCTTTTGCTTGCAAATGTACATATAAGACAATTTCCAAAACATGATCAACAACCCAAGGTTTGTATTCTCTTTGTCGTAATAGTGAATGACTATGCTTTGGACCCTTTTTATTTCTGACTTGGACATAGTAAAATTTATTGCTTTTTACAAACCGCTCTTTTCATACTCAGTTGGACGACCGTGCTTTAAACGAGGTGATGAAGAAACTCTTTAGAAGCTACAAAAAGTGGTGTAAATATTTGGGTCGCAAAAGTAGCCTTTGGTGAGATTTACACGTCTTACAATAGTAATTACGTCAAATACTTGTTTTGTGAAGTATTTGAGTTGAAATTTAGTTAGGCTGGGCATACATGGCTGCTTTAGGAATTTGTAATATGCTCTTTTAAAGTGTTTTATTTATTTATTTAGGTTGCCAACTATTCAGCAGGAAATGCAACAGCGCGGGTCTATATCTTCTTATATGGGGAGAAGCTGCAAATTTGAGATTTATGCCAGAATGCCTTTGTTATATCTACCATCATGTAAGTATTATTAAAAATCTGAAGAGGTGTTTAAAATGATTTATATAAACTCTTTATTTTGTTACACTCTACATACTCTACCTAAGATATTTTTAATTACTTTCCGTGTATGTTGAGTACTTGCATGTCTTTGCTATGAATGTGAACGTTATTAACTGAATCTAAGCATCATTTTATCTTTACTCTACATACTCTACCTAAGGTATTTTTAATTACTTTCCGTGTATGTTGAGCACTTGCATGTCCTTGCTATGAATGTGAACGTTAAGTGAATTTAAGCATCATTTTATCTTTATCTACCCAGATGGCATTTGAGTTGTATGGGATGTTAGCTGGAAATGTTAGTCCGCTGACGGGTGAACCTGTAAAGCCTGCCTATGGGGGTGACAATGAGGCATTTCTGATGAAAGTAATAAAACCAATATATGATACAATATACAAGGTGTGCCTCTGCTTCATTTATGAGCTGAAGAACTGTTTTAGTTTTCTTTCAACATTTAGCTTTCTCTTTGTTCTATTAATAATTTTTTTCGTATTGCAGGAAACAAAAAGGAGTAAAGCAGGAAAAGCAAAGCATTCTCATTGGAGAAACTATGATGATTTAAATGAATTTTTTTGGTATTATTCTTCCTTTTGATCTTCTTGTTTTCCCTTATAATTTTTTTTATCATTAAAAAGATTTTAAATTCATTCCCAAATTGTAGGTCAGTTGATTGTTTCCGCCTAGGTTGGCCTATGCGTATTAATTCCGAGTTCTTCTCTGTGCCTTTGCCTCAAGCGCAGCGTGGAAATAACAAAGAAGAGGTATGGCATAACTTCTTATTAACAAATGAGTGGAAGTAAAACTTTGAGGAAAACAGTAAAGGTTACCAACCCTAAGAAAATAGTATACAAGATTTTTCACCTATAAATACTCACTTTACAAGAATTAGAGTTTCAGTCTAGTGCAAATTTAGGGCTTACTTTTTTGTTTATTGATAGGGGTTCAGTCTAGTGCTTATATTTATGGCTTGAACATCATATATGTGAACTTCATATATATATTAGAATTGTTTTCCTCCATATGTTTTGCAATTAAAGATCCAACAACAACTCATTGTTTATTGTCTCATTTATTAGTTACATGTATTGTAATTATTTCCTTCTGAAATTCTTTTGATCAATCCAAAGGTTGTCTTGAATACGCGCAAGGCAATATCTCTCCATGTTATTTCCATAACAAATTGCGCTTGATTTTGGAAAACAGGAAAGCAAATCTTATAGTGACGAAAGGTGGATGGGTAAAGTTAATTTTGTTGAGATCCGCTCATTTTGGCATGTATTTAGAAGTTTTGACAGAATGTGGAGCTTTTATATACTATCTTTACAGGTAATAGTAGTTCTCGGTTCAGTTTTTGATTAACAACCTCTACTCACTTCATTCTGCATCAATTCTGTTTAACAAACTGAACCGATTACGTTCTTTAATTAAGGCAATGGTAATCATTGCTTGGAACGACTCTGGCAATTTGAGCAACATATTTGATGGTGAAGTTTTCAAGAAAGTTCTCAGCATCTTCATAACTGCTGCAATATTGAAGCTTGCACAAGGTAGATAACACCAACACCTGTCTTTTTTTGTGCTTGTCTCTTCTTCTGTAATATGGAAAAAATAGAATATATATTTTCTTTCTCCCTAATTATAGTCCTCATCAGCTTTCATGTTTCTAAGGGCTACAACTCTTGTTTGCAATAAATGTGAGAAACAGAAAAATGCACTCTAATTTTGTTTTGCTGCATCAAAATTATGTGTCTTGATTTCCACTTTATATTTTAGTTTCTCATTTTAGCTGAAAAATATCCAAGTTATTGCTTGATTAAGATGCCTTTCATATTTTTCCAGCTCTTCTTGACATAGTCCTGAGTTGGAAAGCAAGGAATGTCATGTCGCTTCATGTCAAGCTGCGATATATATTTAAAGCTATTTCAGCTGCAGCTTGGGTTGTAATCTTACCAGTCACTTACGCTTTTAGTTGGAAAAATCCAACTGGTTTTGGACAAACCATAAAGAATTGGTTTGGCAATGGTTCAGGGTCTCCTTCTATGTTCATTTTGGCTGTCTTCATCTATTTATCTCCAAATATTCTCTCTGCATTGTTATTTTTGTTTCCGTTCATTCGCCGGTATCTTGAGAGGTCGAACTATGGCGCCGTGAAGCTCATGATGTGGTGGTCCCAGGTAAGCAGATGCGTATTTGGTTTGTGAAATTTATGTGTTTTAAAATGATACAGGTTCTTTCTTATAAACCAATACCTTTTTATCGTCAGTAAGATATGGTATAGATTCTTTCTTAAAAATGATATTTGTTTTGAAGAATTCTTAAAGATGATTAAAACTATTGATGTAATGGTTTAAAAAACATATATTTAGTTTTTATTCCTTATTTATTTAGTATCTTATCTTGTTTATTTTATTCTTTTTCAACAATTTGCAGCCTCGGCTCTTTGTTGGAAGAGGAATGCAAGAGGGTCCAATTTCATTGTTCAAGTAAGAGAATTATGTTTGGTTCTTTAATTGTCAGTAATCTTATTCACCGGTCATCTCTGACCGGTTAAAATGTAACTATCTTATTTTCTAGGTACTCTACTTTCTGGGTTCTCCTAATTCTATCTAAATTAGCATTCAGTTATTACCTTGAGGTAAATATCTGATCTCGAAATATATCATTTTACTTTGTTTGCGTCTAGAATGATTACCATGTGTGTACACAATTATTAGCATGAGAATATGCATGTACGAATCAGAAATAAATGTGCGTCTGGTTCTCCGAGCCTCTAAATGATCTATATGAAGTCATAAGCTTAGAAATGTATTTCCATAACTACGAAGGTGCGGAGATTTTTTTCGGGGTGTTTGTCAATCAGAAACAAATATGTATTCGTGTGTTTGTTGATTCATACTGTTCATTTTCTTTACACTGCAGATTAAGCCTCTTGTGAGCCCAACAAAAGCCATCATGCGGGCCCGTGTGTCAGTTTATAGCTGGCACGAGTTCTTTCCACATGGTAAAAACTTCGGGAATAAATGAAAATGAATGTAGTTCATATAATGGGATTATTCCTTATATCATCATATTACTATGTGCAGCCAAAAACAATATTGGTGTAGTTATTGCTATATGGGCTCCCATCATGCTTGTAAGTTTATTTTTCAATAGCACGCCTCACTAGTTGTATTAAATCTGTGCTTTTGTGATAATCAATCAGGTATCCTTTTGCAGGTCTACTTTATGGATACACAGATTTGGTATGCTATTTATGCTACAATTGTTGGAGGCATATACGGTGCATTTCGTCGTTTGGGAGAGGTTTGTCTCTTGTATATTCTCCTGTTCTGCCATATTCTGCTCATTATTTTACAAATTGAATATTACATCCCTTTCCATAGCGACCCTACCTATTTGGTGAAGGCTTTTCTTTTTTGTTGTTGTATTGCTCGTTCTAGGTGTTAAATTCATCTTTAATTTTTAAATTTATTTTTTAGTTCACAATATACTCTTTTCAAAATAGGAATTTTCTTAACATGGTTTATGCTAATATGATAGCTGTGTTTTATCTAATTTATCATCAACATTTTTAGAATCTTGCTCCTCCTAGTTATGATTCTGGCCTGACTGTTTCAAAGTAAGCAGCAAAGGGGCTTTAACCATAAAAACGGTTTTTGCAAGTATGGCTGCGACAAGTGGGATAAGAAATTCTAAAGTCAATATAGAATCTCTTAGTTGAAACCTTAAAGTAACAAAATCATTAGAAGTTAAGAGATTATTCAGGTTAAATGTTCCATTTTGAATTCATTTATCATTTTCTTGTTATATCTATTGCACCTGCATGCTACTGAGTCAAACTATGTTAATTAAAATATTCTAATGGAAGATCTAGGTTTTTTCTGCAGAAGTGGCTGCAGATCTATGGATCTTATAATATACAAATCATTATTCTCATTATAATTTCAGATTCGGACATTGGAGTTACTAAGATCTCGCTTTGATTCAATTCCGGGTGCATTTAATGCTCGCTTGATTCCCTTGGATCAGACTGAGAAGAAAAAGAAAAAGGGACTAAAGGCCACCTTTTCTCGTAAATTTGATCAGGTTTTGAAATAATACTTCATTGTTAAAATCAGTTTGAGAATAAGCTTCATCTTTAATGATAATTTCTCTTAGAATTTGTGTTGAACCTAACTCAACATTACAAAATTGACTTGTAAGATGAAGGATGCCGTCCAAATATAATCACTTTTTTTACGGCATTTTACATCTAAATTAGGACTCTCAGCACAATTGTAAGATATCCTTGCCATCGGTGCCTTGTTGTATTAGTCTCTCGTCTATGAGGTGAGAGAATATAGTGAAGGGATACAGCTTCATCTCAAATTAAGATAACTATTTGTAGTAAGATGAATGTGATATTCTATAAAGTTATGAGTTAATTCGAAGACATTGGAATGTTCACATTAATGATTTTCCATGCTTTGATATCATCAAGATTACTTTGATTAAAGTCTCCCATCAATTATGGAGGGACTCCTCCCAACATTTGTGATGTTAGGTTAGGTGTCAATCATTATTTTCCAAAGGTCCTTAAGAAACATGCTAGAATATATATATATTCTCATTGCATCCCCTACCCCCTTTTAAATGTATTCTTCCTTTATCAACATATATTAACTTCTAGAAGAACCGGTTGTTTCAGGTCTCTACTGATAAAGAGAAGGAAGCTGCAAGATTTGCCCAACTATGGAACAAGATAATTACTAGCTTGAGGGAAGAGGACCTAATTGATAACAGGTAGTTTGTGCTATGACTAAACAATTTTTTACACTGTAATTCTTTGTCCACGGTGAACCCTAAATAACTACAATATTGAGACTTTGTTGTATTTTTGAAAGGTCATTATGTTTTGTTGCTAATTAGTCTGACTGCAATAAAATATTTAGGGAAATGGACCTCATGCTTGTACCCTATTGGGCTGACCGTTCTCTGAACCTCATTCAGTGGCCTCCTTTCTTACTTGCTAGCAAGGTTATCTATTTCTGGCCAATTTTTCTGAGTTTGTGTAAGACCAATCATTATCCTGTTTAAAATTTTCAAATCTTTGAATTTGCTATGCAGATCCCAATAGCAGTGTCTATGGCCAAAGACAGTTATGGGAAAGGCCAGGAGCTGGAAAAAAGATTGTCAAGGGACAAGTACATGAAATCTGCTGTTCAAGAATGCTATACTTCTTTTAGAAATATCATTAACTTCTTGGTTCTAGGAGAGCGCGAGAAAATGTAAGTTAATGTTTATTTGAATACTACTCTGGACTCGAATATAAGCAAAAAAAGTAGTCATATTCGGTGGACCAAAATATAAACAAAATCTAACTAACTTCAACCTATTTAATGCTACTATTTTCAAAATATCTTTCAATAAAACAAGTTCTCATACAAAAATAAATGAAAAGAAAGGGTAGTAGATTAGGAAATGCAATTATTACTTTTGATTACATCAAGAAAATTAAACGAGGTTAACCACTTTTCTTAATCGGTGTAATTAGTTACTTTTGCTTATAATTAAGTCTGAAAGGATGATTCATCAATAGAGAGAAGTTTGGCAAAGTTTCAAATACTGACATTTGTACAATATGGCTTCACAATTTGCAGAGTTATGCAGAATATTTTTCAAAGAGTTGATGAGCTTATAGAAAGAGGAGACCTGCTGAAGGATCTAGATCTGGGTGCTCTCCCTGATCTATATGATCGTTTTGTTAAACTGATAGAGTGTTTGGTAATTGTTTTCTAGACTTAAATATTACATTGTGTTCAATCAAGTTTTAGAGTATAACACAATTTGGTTTGTTTCTTCAGTTGGAAAACAAAAAAGAGCTCAAGGATCAAATTGTGATTCTCTTGCTTGACATGCTAGAAATCGTGACTAGAGACATAATGGACGGAGATGTTGAGGGGTAAGTTCTTTGGGATGTTGAGTCTGTAGCTATTTTGATTAGTTGTGATGATCATTTTGGACTGATAACTCATTATCATTCACATGCTAGTTTGCAAGATTCAAGCCACGGCGGGGCTTTGGGTAAGGATGAAAGGATGACGCCCCTTGATCAACAATATCAATTTCTTGGTACACTTCAGTTTCCTGTCACAACAGACACTGAAGCTTGGTCAGAGAAAGTAAGTTTTATAGACTTTAAAGGTGTTTTTATGTCTCTTTTATTCTGTTACTATTTTTATTTATTTAAATAATGATATAACTTTTTTGCTTAATTTCTTTCATTCTATCTTCGTAGATAAAAAGGCTTCATTTACTGCTCACTGTCAAGGAGTCTGCTATGGATGTACCATCCAACTTGGATGCTAAGAGGCGTATATCTTTCTTCAGTAATTCATTGTTTATGAATATGCCATCTGCTCCCAAAGTTCGGAATATGCTGTCCTTCTCGTAAGCTCAAATTATTTTTGGTTGCCTTCACATATTTAAGCTTCAATTTGTAATGCGGCACACTCTCTAACGTACTTTTTCTAACCTACTTGTGAAATTTAATTGGAACATCTGATTTGGAAATGAGCCTTGTTAAGAGTTTCAAATCGGACAATATACGACCTGAACATGTGGGGGCAATCCTCACCCTACAGGCCGATTTTAGTCGGTTTGTAGTGATGAGTTATGCTCAACCACATTTCTTAACCACATTTCTTAATATGATATCAAAGCCTATTGATCGGACTATGGGACGCTCACAGTTGATATCCATGCACCAAGCCCAAAAAGAGTGTTAGGCGTGAAGGATTGTATTGGAAAGATTTCAAGTCCTACATTAGTCAGACATAGAGCCTCTAAAGAGTTTATATAGAGTGACACCCCTTACCTACGCCGGCTTTATAAGGTTGAGTTACATCCCGATTTCTCTTGATGCTTCAGTTACAAAACCATTTGTTGCTATGGGTGAACCGATCAAGATGTCTCAGTTGAATTCCTCTCCCTGGATTAAGGGTTCAGATGGCACAAAGGAAGTGCTTAATCATGACGAGTTTGTTAAGCATTGGTTCTCCTTTTAATGATCCGAAACCAAACCAAATGGTTTTGTGACTGAAGCTTCAAGAGAAACCGGACTTTTAATCATCAGCAGTGCGGCCCACTTTCGCAAGGAAGTGTATTGAGAAATGTTGTTTGATCATAGCTCATCCCTATAAAACCGACTTGTAGGGTGAAGATTGCTCCCATATATTCAGGTCATATATTGTCCGACGTGTGACTCTCAACACCTCACGCTCATAATTTGACATCTGGAGCATGAGGGATGTGTTAAGCAAGGTTGTCAAGATCTCGACCTAGATTAGGCATGACAACAAGGCGGGGCAGGGTGGGTTTAAGCACCCCTGTTTCCGTCCCGCCTTTCTATATTAGCACCTCCCCCGAGCCTAGACCCAGTCGGGGTTAACGATTTACCCCCGTCCCTGCCCTTAACGTGGAACAGGTTTCCCGCCCCCACTCACATAAATTTATATTTTTTTAAATGTTTATATTTGTTCGTAGCATTAAAAATCAATAATTGAACTAATATTTGATTATTTTAAGAATAATTATGATACTTGGTCATTTTCATTTAATTTGTATTTAAAAAAAGGATAATAATTATAATAAATCTGGTATTGTAAGATTAAGAAAAGTTAAAGGGTAATAAATTTATAAAAAATAAGAATAATAAATTAATTTTAATAGGCGAGTGCAGGGGAGGATACTAGCATCCCCCGCCCCCGTAATTAAAAAACGAGTTTCCCTGCACTCACCGCTCTCAAATAAATTGGCTTTTCTCCGTTAGATTCGGAGCGGGGGCAAGGGCGGGCGGGTCCAGATGAGTCCTGATTTTTGTCATGCCTAATCTAGAGATTTTAAAATCTTACGGTTTTGCGATCTCACTCACCTCAAACGATTTTGAGTAGAATTGTGCAATCTAGCCAATTTGCGGAAAAAAAATCGTGAAACCATTGATTTTGTGCGATCTTGGCCAGTTCCAACCATGATTGACCGTTTTCCAGCCTCAACCATTACAAACCGAGAAGGATGACAAGATGTCGAACAATTACGGTTTGCAGAGACCATTTTCCCATGAATACAATTGCCTACCAAAATTATATGTAAAAAATTCAAATATATAGTTATTTTTTTGTTTAAGTAATATCTTACGATTTTCATTACAATCTTATGTTTTACGATCCTGCTACCCCTTCTTGATCTTACAAAAATAATTGGGTAGGATCTTTTGATCTTAGTTACGATCTTATGTTTAACGATCTTATTATCTCCTCCCGATCTTATGCAAGACTCGGATCTTGACAACCTTAGTGTTAAGGCTATGTTTGGATTGCTGGAAGAATGAAACATAACGGAGCGGAATGGAATATAAATCCCACTCTATTGTTTGATTTTTTTATTTAAAATGTCTCATTCCATCCCATACACCTCAAATTGGATGGAATAAAAAAGGGGAATTAGATGAAATACATTCCATCATGTTCCACTTAATTCCATCCTCTTTTTACCAATCCAAAGAATGGAACATAATATTGTTCCATTCTGCTCCGCTCCATTGTGTTCCATCAATCCAAACATAGCCTAAGAGTCCCACATCAGACAATATATGACCTGAATATGTATGGGCAGATCCACTCACAAGGGAGGGGATGCAACTGCACCCACTGGATTTTTGCATCTACCCCTATTATCCTACTTTATTTATAGTTTGAACCCCCTGAATATTTAATTTTGCACCCTGCATTTTCCTGGATCATAATTTTGCACCCTGCATTTTCCTAGACTGCTTTATTTCTCTGCACCTATGCATCTTGTTTTCCTGATGATGCCACTTCCTATTTCTTATTATAATAGTGTGATGTGATTGTGCTTACATTTCACTTTTCAATGAAAATATTTTAAATTGTAAAAGGAATAGACAGTGGGTCGAATTTTATACTATTAACAACTAAGCTATGGTTAGTAACTATAATTGCATAAAAAGTACCTAACAATTTCATAAAAAGTACTTTCACATGTAATTTTAACAATTTTTTATTCATCACTTTTTAGCATACTTGAAAAAAAGGTGAATTTATTCTAATAAATACCTAACATTTCTCATTCTAACAAATGTTTATTTAAACTATTTTGGTTTTTCTTTTGTTTATTTAAACTATTTTGGTTTTTCTTAAAAAGAGTGTTAGTAAGCTTTACATTTAGATTTATTTAACTGTTTTTTAGTTATAATTAACTAAAGTGCACTATCTAAAAAATATTTATATGTTAAAAATTTCAAAAATAATAGTTATTTATATTTTTATTCATATAAATAATATATGGTTATTATTTTTAAAAAAAATTTTGCACCCCCAAACTAGGGTCTTGGCTCCGCCACTGTTAATAGGCCACACTAAATAGAAAATGGGACGAATATGGTTTAGTGGACTCCACGCAAATTTCTCCCAGTAGAAGAGTGTTTGAAAGAGAGAATGCATAGTCTGTTGCTCATTTCTGTTATGATGTGATGAGAAATGTTAGCAGATGCACTCATTTCATTACATCATCTAATAGTGGATTCCACACAAATTCCGCCTAATCGAAGTGTTGGAAAGGGAGCTATGTATAGTGCGTTGCTAGCATTTTTCTTATGATGTGATGAGAACTGTGCAGATGCACTCACTTCAAATCTTCAATACATCATCTTATATGCCGGTCCCACTAAATAAGGAGTGAGACCAAGTGTTTGGGTCTTTAAAATATTTTCTGGGTATGGAGGTTGCCCATTCAATGAATGGATCTTTACTAAGTCCTTGCCCTCGCCAAATCCTTGATCCCAATATGAGAAATGCGTAGAGTTCTTTTCAAACGGGAATTTTTTTTAAGGAAAATGCTAACTTGTGTCCTAAGAACAAATGTTTTAAAGAACTCAAAATAGGAATATTCTATTAAATTTGTACATTTAATTGTTCAAAAGTTTAAACATTATTATATTTAATACAACTTTTCTACTTTTAGATTCCTTAACATGTGGAATTTATATGAAAGTTCAAAATTTTTAAATAATCATTATTTTTCTTGAAAGTTTTAAAATGTCGGCAAAATCTGCTGGTGTATATCCGGTAACTAATAGTAGTATTAACTTTCTTTTGTTTTAAAGATATTTGAAGTGTTAAGCCAATAGTCAATAAAAGTGCAAATTTGAAGTGGTGTATAAATACAATTTGTGTTCAAGTTTGTGATTTCACCATTATTTTGGAAAATCTATAAGTAGTGGTATATAGTTCATTCTTTAAAATTTATAAACAAAAGTGAGAAGAGAGATCTGTATGACTTGATCCATGTTCTGGACAAAATCTCCATCTAAAACATTATATATCTTTATTTTGTAGTGTCTTGACTCCATACTTCGATGAACCGGTTCTTTTCTCCCTAGAACATCTGGAAGAGCCAAATGAAGATGGAGTCTCTATCCTCTTTTACTTGCAAAAGATATTTCCAGGTATGTGTTTTCCCCCTAGATATTAGTGTAGCACCCATCTTCATTTTGGAGTCTAAATCTGAAATATTATGGGAACAATGGGCAAATACTATGGAATAGAAAATTTGTGAAATTTAGTGGGATCAATAACCACATCGGAACTACCTTGTGTCCCCCTCCCCACTAATGGTGTACTGTTTTCTGCTCATACTCTATGCGCAATGCTCAAACTCTATTCACGATTCTGTAGCATACTCTTGCTTCTGACCATGATATACTTCACAGATGAATGGAAAAATTTCCTTCAACGTTTTGATTGTAAGAGTGATGAGAAACTCAGAGGAGAGTTAGAAGAAGAACTCCGTCTATGGGCATCATACAGAGGCCAGACATTGACCAAAACCGGTACAGATCACTTCCTTGCCCTCTGAAAATAGTTTACATGTTAGATATGTAATTTGATGTTATTCTTTGCATTGTATCATTATGCGCGTCTTCTGCATTTTCACTTAATTCTGACCATGTGAAGTTCGAGGAATGATGTATTTCCGACAAGCATTGGAACTACAGGCTTTTCTTGATATGGCAAAGGATGAAGGTACATGGAGAAAGATTGATTTAAGGAGAGTAAAGGGGACTCATTACCTTATTAAACAGCTTAACTCAATGTTGTCATTTCATTTCATGAACAGAGTTAATGAAAGGTTATAAGGCTGCAGAGCTAGAGAGTAAGGAAAATCCAACAAGTGAGCGGTCGCTATGGACACAATGTCAATCATTAGCCGACATGAAGTTCACATATGTAGTTTCATGTCAACAATATAGTAGTCACAAGCGATCTGGTGATCCCAGGGCTAAAGAAATTTTAAAGCTCATGACTAAGTAAGACTCTCAAGTCAACCGCGTTACTAGTTATCACTTACGCAAAAACTATCCTGTTACACTTGGTACTAACGTTACAATTGCAGGTATCCATCTCTTCGAGTTGCTTATATTGATGAGGTTGAAGAGCCTAGCAAAGATTCTTCCCGAAAAATAGACAAGGTTTATTATTCAGCACTAGCCAAAGCTGCTTTACCAACCAAATCAATTGATTCATCGGAAGCAGTTCAAAATTTGGACCAGGTATTGTCCAAATAACATTTCTGAAATTATGACAACTGAAGTCAATAAATTGCAATATTCTGTTAGCAAGGGAATTTCTGTTATAAAAGAGAGGGAAATGGATTTCAGAAGGCATTCAGAGAGTTGTTAGCATTCAGTTAGGAGAAAGTATTATCTGGTTAGGAGTTCATAGAACTCTGCTTTATCACTTCATTTTCCATTTCCACTGTTGTAGAGCTCTTGAGCTCATAGTTTCCATTCAATGTAAACAGTTTCGTTACTGTTAAGAGTCCCACATCGGACAATATATGGCCTGAACATGAGTTTATAAGTAGGAGTAATCCTCACCTTACAAGTTGGTTTTGTAGGGTCGAGTTAGGCTCAACCCACACATTCTAAGATGGTATCAGAGCCATATCTAAGATCCATTAGGCCACCCACCATTTAATTCCACGCTCCAGTCCTAATTCCTGGGCAACAGGTTTCAATTAAGAGTCCCACATCGGACAATATATGGCCTGAACATGACTTTATAAGTAGGAGTAATCCTCACCTTACAAGTCGGTTTTGTAGGGTTGAGTTAGACCCAACTCACACATTCTAAGAGTTACCTTGATAAGAGGAAAAAAAATAATAAAAATAGTTTCTCCTCACGTTTTTTGATTAGTTATTATGGAAAATGATCAAACAAATTCCAGATGGTTAGATTTTTCTCAAATGTTCAAGTATAGTGTGTATTCTTTGAGTGATGATTTCAAATTTTCCATTTGGTTATTTGGTGTAGGTAATTTACAGAATAAAGCTTCCTGGACCTGCAATATTGGGTGAGGGGAAGCCAGAAAATCAAAATCATGCCATCATTTTCACACGAGGGGAAGGCTTGCAAACAATTGATATGAATCAGGTCTGACATTATTATATATATATATGGAAGAAAGAAGAGAGAGGCTACTAATAAAAAATTATGACAGCTGAGCATTTGTGTAACAGGACAACTATATGGAAGAAGCTTTCAAAATGAGGAATTTGCTGCAAGAATTTCTTAAGAAACACGGTGGTCCCAGATATCCAACTATACTTGGACTCAGAGAGCATATTTTTACTGGCAGGTATGATCTATTGTATAAATTTTTCTGTGTTTTCTGGTGTCATTTCTGATATAACCTAAAATCTAAGAACAGACACTATTAATCTTATCTATCTAATGTTTCTTGCAGTGTTTCATCGCTTGCATGGTTTATGTCCAATCAGGAAACCAGTTTTGTGACAATTGGGCAAAGATTGCTGGCTAATCCTCTGAAGTAAGTATCTGTTTTTTTAATACTTGAATGCTCACTATGATGCATGATGCAAATTTTTTACTTAAGACTCCTATTCCTACTAATAATCTAGATTTTGGGACAAATAGTTCATGCATCACAGTTATAGTACAAGAACAATAAGAATGATTATTTAGTTATTTATAAAATCAAATATGGCTAGCCATAGCCCACCTTTCTCCTTTTTTAAATATTTTTCTGTAACATGCATAAACTAAAACTAAAAGTGTGATTACCTTAGTTTACTGTTTTACTGATTACCTTAGTTTACTGTTTTACTGATACATTTTTCTCAGTTTTCTATTTTCTGGTTTATGCTTTCATTAATTTGCTGAGCATAAAATAATGTGTTTTTGAAATTTGTATTGCTTGTGTTTTTCCTTCAGAGTGAGGTTCCATTACGGCCACCCAGATGTATTTGATAGACTTTTCCACCTGACAAGAGGCGGTGTAAGCAAGGCTTCTAAAGTCATCAACTTGAGTGAGGATATATTTGCAGGTATGTGTTTTAATTTCTCTTTCTATGTGTGCATAATTTGTTTCTATTTCTTTTATAGAAGTATCATTAGCATAACTTTGTCTATTCCCTGCAGGTTTCAATTCTACATTACGTGAAGGAAATGTCACCCATCATGAGTACATACAAGTTGGTAAAGGAAGGGACGTGGGTCTTAACCAGATATCGATGTTTGAGGCAAAGATAGCTAATGGGAATGGTGAACAGACAATGAGTAGGGACATATACAGGCTTGGACACCGATTTGATTTCTTCCGAATGTTATCTGTTTATTTCACCACCATTGGTTTCTATTTCAGTACCCTGGTATAGTCAGAACTTTCGTTACTTACTAGTGGTATTTATGATTATGTTCTGTTATAAGTACTGACTTTGCTTTTAACAGCTTACAGTCCTCACTGTTTATGTATTCCTTTATGGCCGCCTCTATCTTTCCCTTAGTGGACTCGAAGAAGGACTGAACAAAATAAAAGCTATTCGAGACAACAAAGCTCTTCAAGTAGCTCTTGCTTCTCAATCTTTTGTGCAAATCGGATTTTTATTGGCCATGCCTATGTTAATGGAAATTGGGTTGGAGAAGGGTTTTCGTGAGGCGTTTAGTGAATTTGTATTAATGCAGATACAATTGGCTCCTGTATTTTTCACATTTTCTCTTGGAACAAAAACACACTATTATGGCAGGACGTTGCTTCATGGAGGTGCACAGTACAGAGGCACTGGTCGTGGTTTCGTGGTGTTCCATGCCAAGTTTGCTGACAATTATAGGCTCTATTCTAGGAGTCATTTTGTTAAAGGAATTGAATTAGTGATTCTTCTTGTGGTCTACCATATATTTGGCCATGCATACCGAGGAGTTGTTGCATATATTTTAATTACCATAACCATATGGTTCATGGCTGGAACATGGCTTTTTGCTCCTTTCCTCTTCAATCCATCGGGATTTGAGTGGCAGAAGATACTTGATGATTGGACAGATTGGCATAAATGGATAAGTAATCGTGGTGGTATTGGTGTACCTCCTGAAAAAAGTTGGGAATCCTGGTGGGAAAAGGAGTTCGAGCATCTTGAGCATTCTGGAATGCGTGGTATTGCTACTGAGATAATACTGGCCCTCCGGTTTTTCATATATCAATATGGACTTGTATATCACCTTTCAATCACTGATTCACATAAAAGTGTTCTGGTAAGTTTTGTTTGCATGTAACTCTCATTAGGAACAATCCTTTGCCTGTTCATAATCCTAGCAACTAGGATATGAATTTAACTGCAGTTACCATTGGATTACAGGTATATGCTATTTCATGGATGATAATCTTTCTAATACTGGGTTTAATGAAGGTGAGAATTTAAATCATTATATTATGCATCATGAAATTTTGGTCTAATCCTTTATTCAGGGAATTTTGCGGACTACTACTACTTGCACATCAGCGAAAAATAAGTATTTTTTAATGAAGTAAATCTAGAGATGACAAGTTAATTGAGCTAGCCTTGCGCTCCGTATTTCTTTTACTACTCACACATCACTTTATACTTGAATTATATGGTTTAGGAATAAATTAACCATTTCGATACTATCTGGTGCATTTTTGCAGGGTATATCTGTTGGCAGGCGCCGCCTCAGTGCAGATTTTCAGCTTGTATTTAGATTGATCGAGGGTTCTATTTTCATAACATTTCTTGCCATCCTCATAATATTAATAGCAGTGGTTAAGATGACAATTAAAGACCTAATAATCTGCATTCTAGCTGTCATGCCAACAGGATGGGGAATGCTGTTGGTCAGTAATTTTTTTCTTCTTCTTTTCATGCAAAGTTCCATTACTATGTTTTATAAGAAATTTATTGCTCTTGCTGATTGCGTTTTCTTTTCTCTATTTCATAAAGATTGCACAAGCTTGTAAACCACTCATTGCAAAATCTGGACTTTGGGGCTCGGTTCGAGCACTTGCACGAGGATATGAAGTTATAATGGGCTTGCTTCTCTTCACACCAGTAGCTTTCTTGGCTTGGTTCCCATTTGTTTCAGAGTTTCAAACAAGAATGCTTTTCAACCAAGCCTTCAGTAGAGGTTTACAGATTTCGCGTATTCTTGGTGGACAAAAAAGGGATCGCGCCAACAGCAAAGAGTGATTATAAATTAACAATCTATGTCCTGGTGTACATGATTTATCATTATTAAAAATTTCTGTCACATGTTACATTATTAAGAGTTTGATTTCAAAGGTTATTGTTGCCTTAATCAAATTCTATTTTTTGAATGCAACATACATGGTTTGGATGATAGTGAAGGAGATTGGAATGTTTGTATATATATTTACATTCATCACACCAGCCCATTTTGTAAATAATTGCTGTTGTACAACTTGTTCCTGTGGTAGTGTCATGCTTAGTATGTATGGTTACAATATTTATGGTTTATATGGCATAGATTATGTTTGAATAATCAGTTTATTTGCCGCTTATATTACAATTGTTTATTTAAATAAATGTTTATAAATAAATTTGTATATTTTATTTTTATGAATTTAATTGGAGTACATTAACTGTAAAAAAAATTTATACCGTCAGTGAATGATAACTGTCAGATCTTAATTTATGTTTGATTTTTATTTTAAAAATATCAAATGTAATGATTATGAATAGTTATAATAGATTGATTGTGTTAAATTTTTCACACTGACAATGTATAATAATTAGTCTTTATTTTTATAATAAAAGATAAAATAAATTTAATGATTTATTATAAGTTATAATTGAAGAATATATTACAAATATTTATTTAAATAAACATTTATAAATAAACTTGTATATTTTATTTTTAAAATAAAAGATAAAGGGAGAAAATCAATTGACACTAAGGTATCATGACACTAAATTCTACTTGTTTATTATTATTAATCTAAAAATTAAGATAAATTCAATTAAAAATTAAAATATGAATTTTTTAAGGAATTTATCTTTAACCTTTGAATTAATAAAAATAAAGAGGTAGGATTTCCTGTCAAAGTTAATATTTGACGCGGGTGTCAAATAATTTCTTCCCAAAGATAAAATGAATTTAAATGATTTTTTATATATGTTATAATTGAAGAGTTTATAAAAAAATTAAAAAAAGTATATGAAAAACAGCATAAATTACTTTGATTAAGTCCCTCGTATCACAAATTTAGATAAGCTCTATTAAAACATGTTTTAAATATGATTTTAATAACTATACATTTCAATCAATAATTTGAGAATTTAATTCGCCACCTCTAAATTTTAATTATTCTAGAATTACCTTTGTCGAGATATAAATAATTTTTAGACGAAATTTTTAGTATAGGGTTTGAAATTTTTGGTACGAGCAAAATTTCTGGTACACCCTTGCAAAATATTTGGTTTATGTAAATTTTTGGTCGTGTATTTAAAATTTATGATATTTTGGAAATTTCAAATTTATTAGACAGTATCGGAAATTTGAGTTATACTAAAATTTTCGGTAGTTCATTTATTCAAGTTTTTTAACGGTTGAGATTTTGCCGACATCTTTGGAGGGTCCTGATTGTACCGACAAATTTGTGTGGTCTATAATACATTGCCATTTGTATAAATATAGGCATATGCTATAGAGAAAAACATCTAAAAAATGACTCTTTCTCAATTTCTGATTAAGACAAGTATATTATAATGTTGTTGTTGAATTCAAGCTTCCAAATGACAACACATCCATTACCACATTGAAAGAAACGTTGAATGCATTGCTGCCTGATTATGATAACAGAAGGGTGACAAAGATCGAGTTTTGGGACCATTATATTGATGCAGATGGTTGGGTGAAATACAACCTGATTGAGTTAAAGACCGATGAAGATGTGAAGACCATATGAAAAACATTTCGCCGCAAGATAACTAAAGGTCCGATCGAGTTGGATGCGGAGATCCAAAGATCCATCGAAGACATAATCAAGATGCTGAAACGTCTAGAATCATCCGACAGTGTTTAAGTTTTCATGTTTAGTTGTTTTTAGTTTTTGTTTGTTGTACTGTTTTATGTTTTTTCATCATCGATTCGAAACATGTAATCGTCAAAATATTATGTTATAAATAAGAAGTATGTGTGTCAAAAAATATACATATAATATAACCAAAATAAAACAGATCTACATAGGCCTTCCACGGGCTATGTCGACTTAACCTAACTAAACCTGTATAAATCTCACCATCGAGGTTTATCAAACCCATGAGGTTATCTAAATGAACTGCAATAAACTGTATGTGATTGTCCTGATCACCTCCAGGTGATGAAGGTGGTGGTGGCGGTTCAGCAGAAATCCTAGCATGTGAAGGCCCCAGAACATCAGATGTTGCAGTCGTTGGTATGACCCTAGAGTGTGATACACTGTGATACCACTCCAGGTATCCATCCTCGTACTATGAAGGATGTTGAACCACAATTGATTTATCCCTGATCTCACGGCCAAAGCAAATGATGTGACTCTGAACCCATTTGTCAATGCCACCAGCTAGAGCCTCGGGAACTGGACGAGGGATGCTCTGGATATAACCATAATGTCATAGACACCTCTCAGGCAAGTGTCTAGTCATATGGTTCTCCCACCTAAGATGCCCTGAATATAAAAAGCATCTTCAAATGTACGATGAGGCTGGTGAGATGTATATGGTGTCCAAATGACATCCTCTACGGTTAGAGCATCAAGCCTCCTCCGGAACTCCATCAAACACCAAGGTTAAATTTCATTTTACGTCTGATGTTAGATGTTTTTTTTGTAATAGTGAGATAACAATACTTGTTATTTGGTATTTGTGGATATGATAAATTTTTATACTACATTGATATAGTCGTATACTTACGGACTATCAGTTGTGATCTAAACCAAATAAAATCTTGTTTGATTTGGGGATTGTTTTATGAAGTCTCCGTGTGGTTTGTGAGTTTTTCCGTGAAGAAAAATATCTCTTTTGATTTGTGAAAATCATCCAGTGAAAGTCTCCACAATGATTCTTGAGCTCAGCCCGATGAAAAGCTCTATTGGTTTGAGATCAACCCGATTAAAATCTCTCTTGGTTATTAAGTTCAGTATAGTGTAAAATCTTAGTAGGATTGAACCAACCCGATAAAAATATTATTTTGGTTCATCGTTGGCATATGCAAAACCCTAATTTGATTTGGAGGATAGCCAACTGAAAACTTCATCTTGGTTAGAGATGCGCTCATGGAAAATCTCTATTTGGTTTGAAGACTAACCGCCCTAAGACTTTGTCTGCTGTTTGGTTAGATGTTAGCCTGAAAACTTTAGTTCCTTGTATAAGGAGGTTCGTGAAAAATCCTTCTAAAAGCTCTCAAGTTTAGTGAATACTTTCAAAAATAATTCTTAGGGGACAAAAGTAGGTCATCTTAGTCGAACATGTATAATTCTCTAGTGTTCTTTCTTCTCCTTTATCTTGTAACGCCCCTGACTGCTTCAAGAATTATTGACTGATCCTACAAACCACCATGAGTCTTTTCAAGCATGCTTTGTCCTCACTTACACGCTTTCCAGAAAACTTTCTAAATGGCCACCCATCCAAATACTACTCTAAGTCAAACTTCCTTAGCTATGAAGTTCTTATTTGTTAAGCTACCAAAAAGAAGAGGCATATTATTGGTATAGGTTATACCAATCAATCCCTATAAACCTTCCCTCAACTATGCAGTCACATATTTGCATAACCTCAAGATCCCTGTCATTCCAATGTGAATTCAGTTTTTTCAGAAATTGCCAAAAATCATTCATTGTCATGCCTCATGCACCGACAACCACTCTCCGCCCTTATTGGTGTTAGAACATAGTTTGGTTCTACATCTTAGTAATAGTTTTGATGATAACAAATACATGATATATATATATAAAGAACAATTATTCTCTCTAATAAATTATTTAAATATGCAGAGAAGACCTGATATAGAAGCATAAAAGTTGGCGAACAATTTGCGCTAAGAAGATCCGATAAGAGTATCTGTGCAAACTAAATTAAAGTATCACACTTAATAGAAGAAGTTCTGATGTTATAACTTCTGAAGCACCAAAGCTGCAAGCTAAAATTTGATGAAGCAATACTCTGATGATCTAAAGTCTCAACTTTATTATTCTTATTCTTATCAGATTTCAAAGAAGCAAATTTCTGATGCATGACATTTAATTCATTACAAATCAAGAAAGTAACGGCTGAATAATTATGACTGGGAACAACATCTGTATTTTTGGAAAGAAAATAAAATCACAAGTCAATAACCTTCCAAAATCAAAAGATTATGTCTCCAAAGGTTTCATTATAGCTGCCTATATAAAGAGGTCTATGAAAGGTGAAAAACAACAGACTCACACTTATTAACAAGAGCGATCAAAAGCATTCATATTTCTTATCTCTTGAAAAAATCATTGTGCTAAATTTTGTGTAAACATCACAGTTGTGATAAAGCTTATTAGAACAGTTGTAAGCACATTGTATAATTATCTAGAATTGTAATTCCTTGAGAAAATAAGTCGTGGTTTACTCTCAATAAGACATTGACAATAGTCTTTGTAAGTGGTAATCAAAGTTTTGATTAATGGATTAAGACCTCGATTGAGATAGGCGAAATCACCTTGACGGATGGACTGAAGTAGTTTGAGTTCAAACGAACCATGATAACCAAATGTGTCATACTGTTTTTAATTTTTGAAAACCCTAGTTCAAACCCCCTTTCTTGTGTTTTTCCATCCTTCAATTGGTATCAGAGCGTCTGGTTCTGGATGCTAACACTTAATCGTGTCAGAAAAAGATCCTAGCAGTAAAAACACTATGGTTGAACCAATGCAGAATAACAACAATGATAACTATGATGATAAAGACAAAATCAGCTATAGACCCCCAATGTTTGACGACGAAAATTTTGACTACTGGAAAGATAGAATCAGAAGTTTCTTTCTAGCTCATGACGCTGATCTCTGGGATATGGTGACTGATGGCTACATTCATCCTAGTGATGAAAACAGTCAGAAGATTGATAGAAAGAAAATAACAGATCAAAAAAAGAAAGAGTACATAAATCATCACAAGGCCAAAACGATTCTCTTGAGTGCCATTTCATACACCGAGTATGACGC